TGTAATAACATTAGCTTCTTACCTTAACCTGTTGTAATAACATTAGCTTCTTACCTTAACCTGTTGTAATAACATTAGCTTCTTGCCTTAACCTGTTGGAAAACCTATCTGTTGTATTAATGTTAGCCTCTCAACTTTACCTGTTGTAGTAACATTAGCTTAACAGCTCTACCTATTATATAAGGAAATAAGGTTGAAGAAAATGGTTGGATAATCAAATGAGAAATTGGATCTAAGACAGGACTATTCAACTAACCTGTACCAGGGGCCACAGTTACTGCAGGTCAACAGCTCAGGGGCCGAACATCCAGCAAATAAATTTATTATGTAAATAAAGCAAGTATTACAAAGACCTGTTACCTTTGAAATTGTCTATTTTGCTGCATTTAATCATGAATACAACACACAGAACCCTATAAAAGTGGTGATAATAAAACATTATCAAACACAACAATAACRCATTCTGCCTCATATTTAACACAAATATTTTGACATTTCTGACTTGCCAAATTTTTAAACCAATTTTATTTTCACTTTGTTAGTTTTATCTTCAACTGCTTATAGTTTTAACTGTCTCGAGTGATCATAGAAATGGTTTTTACCAGCTTGTAGCCAAGATTCTGTTGTTTCTGTAGATACCAAATATGTCTACGTTTAACTAAAAGAACTTAGAGTAATTATAGTAGTAAACTGGGGGCTTGGGCTGAAGAGATGAATGAACCAATTGGAGGGCCGAACTTTGGTCAGTCCCCGCGGGCCGCCAGTTGAATAGCCCTGGTCTAAAAGCACAAATATGGCCGAGTTTGTAAACAATAAAAGCTCAATAAAACCTTTAAGTAATGTTGCTTCTGTGCATTGATGGTCCTAAAACAATACATAGGTATTGTCTTTTAGGGGAAGAGTTTGTCTACCGTCTAATCTAAAGTCTTTCAGGAGTCTTCTGATACTGAAAGGTGAAAAGACTTTGCTTTGAAATGTGATTGGTTGATCTGAACCCAGATTTCCCAACTCAGACTAAGAGTGCTGACAGCGTTCCTCTGATACCATGTTGTAACACTACCACCCTCTGCTTCAGCCAAAATGTAGACCAGGCTGCTTGTTTCCAAGACCCTTCACACCCTTGAATTGCCTAACCATCTGTAATTGTCTGTAGTTTCTCTTTTTATGAATGTATGTGTGCAAGAGTAACAGCTCACCGTTGTTTCTTCAGTGTGAGATGGAGGACTCTTAGATGGAGGAGAAAAATGTGCAAGCAGTGAATTAGAGGTATCCAGGTTTTGTCTAAATGGCATCTCAACTTCTTGTTCATGGATCTGTAAGACAAGACCAAAACAATAAGTATTCATCATCTGGACCTTATGGGCCAGGATTCTGTGTTGGTTCTCAATACTGAAACTAAATCTGTGGCAGACTAACAAACTTGTTACAACTGTAAGATGCACATGTGGGTCAGTCAGTCTGTGATCAGGTGACTGAGCTCTGAGAAGAAAACAGCCCAGGTCAGGCCTCTCTTAGATAAGACATAATGGGAACTGGGGGCTCGTCTAGGATTCTACTACTTAACAACCATTTATATGTGAGAGGATGAGGCCTCTGTCTACACTGTCCAAATTTACAAACAAATTCAGGTAACATCTTGGTTACCTGGACACTAACTGACACACATTAGATCCATGAACACACACACACACACATTTGTATTTAAGACCAGTTCATTGATCCTCATTAATTTCCAGTCATCTCTATTACCTCACTTTGAACACTTACCCTAAACGTAACCCCACCATTACATTCTTAACCCTAAACCTAACCCACCAGTACATATTTAACTCTAAACCTAACCCACCAGTACATATTTAACCCTAAACCTAACCCACCAGTACATATTTACCCTAAACCTAACTAAACTCAATAGGAGGTTACACGTGACGTCACAATGCAGTGACACTGGAGCGCGAAGTTCAGATGGAGGTCAGGAAGTGAAAAAGTGGAGGATCTGCTATCTGAAAAAATGCCCATATCTTGTGTAGTTTACGAGTGCGCCACTCATTCTTATTGAATTAATAATAAATAATTATACACTGATTAAATTATATGTTAAATTAAATTAAATTATGTCTCTTTTTAGTAATGTTCATCATGTTTGAAGCACGTTGCAGCAGGAGGATGTAAAATAGGTCTGATTCATGGGGGAAAAACACCTCATTCCACCCTCTGGTGTCACCCCCACCCCGCCGAACCAACCTAAACCCCCCAAACTCCTTCCTGACTGAAGCCTGAAAATATTAGACAAGCTGCAAAAAATCTACAGGAGGATAAAAATAAAAAGAGACGGAAGTTGAATAAAGTTCAGCTGTGATGGAGAGACAGGAGATCGGAAATCAGCAATGAGATATCTGAAATTTATTACATTTATTATATTTGTACAACTATATTTCATGGTTAGGGTGACATTTAGTTTAGTTATTTTAGTGTCTTTGATGCAATAAAAAAAGTGATGAAGGTGGAGCTGCAGTGCAGCTGTGGACAGGTGGACCGAGTCGGACCGAGCTGCAGTTTGAGAGGAGCTCAAAGGCAGAGATGGAGGACAAACAGTCGGAGACAGAGTGAGGACTTTGATGAGGACGTAGCTGATTCACTATTTCAGTTATAAGAGGGAAGAGAAGAAGATCGAGCACCGAGCGGACTCTACAGTCCTGTTCCCGGTCTGCCGGGGCAGACGCTGCGGCGCTAACTGGATGCTAACTACACCGAACAGCTGATGAAAACATGTAAACAACAGGAAATGAACACGATGATTATCGTTTGTTTTTTTCCAGGGTTAGTGTTTTTTCTGTTATCGTTTTATATGTTAAGATAATGCTAACAGTAGCRGCTAACGTCAACACACATCCAGCAGCTAACGACACAGAACTAGGGCAGCCTAAAGTCCAGATGWGGTCCACATTAAAGTACCAGTAACTTAATACTCACTACTAAATAAACGATCATTATTAACATAACGTCTAAAACAAGTTATCAGCYAACTGATGTAGTGGCCGCTGCCTGCAGACACATCCTGCTCCTCCTGACCGCAGACGGTTTAAAATCCACTTTTTACGTTGTGGTTCTGTGAGCTTTCTACATTTTTCATCTTTGTGTGATAATCAGTGTTATCATAGGGTTGGGCAGAATCGTGTGGAATTATTCATCAGATAAACTTTTGCTGGTTATTATTTGTCACCTGGTGATGTAARACRTGTGGTACCGACAGCCTCAGRAAATCTTTAGGTTCTGTTGAAAACTCATCTTCATCAYAMGAGTCATGTCTGACTTATTTGTGAACAAATTGTTGTTATATATCTTGAGATAGGACCTGAATCCATACRWTATARACTCTCTACAGTAGTTTCCTCCACAGACATTTTACTTCCTGCCCTCCAGCAGAGATCACTCCGCCTTCGAAACCACGTCACTGAAACCAGCTTTTACCTYAGTCCAAAACAAAACTCCCAACCCAAGAATGGAGTTCCACTTTATGAGGACCAGTCTTTGGTCCTTATGTGGACTACTGGTCTTGACAAGGTAGGTCTGTGTCCCAGCAATGGTCCCATAAAGTAACAAATACAAGTCAAATACACACACACACACACACTCACACACACACACACACACACACACACACACAC